CAGAACAGGGCATAATCTCCGGGGTTAAAGGTCAGCCAGGCTTGGTTGTAGTTGTGTGAGTGGAAAGTTACTGAGCATGGGGAATTTTCAGAGGCCTTAAAAGGGCTCGCATGGGGCGGCTTCAGGCATGGCTCGATCAGAGATCAGGCTCCATTTGTCCAAGATGACCTTGGTGCTCCCCTCCTCCTGGCTTTGGATTTGTCCCCAGTCCTTCCCCATGGTCCCAAGATGACCACCAGCTGCAGTTCGAGGGTGCGCTCCCTCACTTAGCACTGGGGACCCAGGTGGTCTCCACAAGCTGGCTTGAGCTCCCCCCCAGCCCTCAGCTGAGATGACTCCACACCTGTCCATTTAGCAAATCCCTCGCCACTGGCAGAAGTAACTGCTCATTCCTCTGCGTTCACAGAGCAAGCTGTTTCTCAGCTGTCACCCTCCCCACGTTCTGCCTGCATACATTGCCCCGCCCAATCCACTGTCTGCTCCTTGTGGGGGACTGGGTCTTTGCGCCTTTCCACAGAGTGCCTGACATGAAGATGTTACCAATACTCATTGGTTGGTAGGAAGGAAGGAAAGGAGGGAGGGAGGGAGGAAGGACAAAGAACCAAGGTCCAGTCTCTAGAAAGAGGCAACTTGGATTCACTCTCAGCGCCTCCCCAACTTGCCTTTGGAACTTCCTTTCCTTCTTCCAGGTCACTGTGAGGAGCCTCCACCCTGGGAACACGGATCTTTGAAGAGAATTTACCATTTCATGGTGGGGCAGACGGTTCACTACCAGTGCGCCCAGGGATTCAGGGACCCGCGGAGAGGCCTTGGCAAGAGCATCTGTGAGATGACCAGAGGGAAGACGAGGTGGACGCAGCCGCAGCTCAAGTGCAGAAGTGAAACGGAGAACAGTCAGTTTCCAGGTTCGGGGCTGCTCCCGTGGGCCCCCCCACCACCACTTCCCTCCGGCAGACCAGGCTGGAATTCCTGAACCCCCGGCCACGTGATCTTGGGCAAGGCTCTTCACCTCCTGGGGCCGCTGTTTTTCTCACTCTAGAAAATAGACTAGATAAACTGCAAGGTTTCCATCACCTGAGGTCCCCCGGACCCTGAGCGGGAAAAAGTAGCAGGAGATGGAAGAGGAAGAAAGGGCTTCCGAGGACCCCGGGTGCCCCCTCCCCAGCAGTAATGCTGCCCCCTTTTCTAGCTGGTCCTGAGACGCCCCTTCTTCCTCTAAGCTCCCAAGACTTCCTCGCCTTCGAAAAGGAAAGCCCAGCGTGCCGCCCACCCCCTTCTAACCTCCTGGCACCCAACGTGAGCCCAGTATTTGCGCAGTGCTGCACCACCAGCACGCCCCTGCCTCCGGTGTAAGTCCCACCTGAGCGTGGATGCAGTGCAAATGTGCAGACAGAGGACTTTTCACCAGCAAACACACTCATTCACACACACAGACAAGCCCCCTAACTTGAGGTCTTCTGCTATTTTCATTCTGAAACCATGTTACTATTTCTACGGTCAAGTCACTTTCACTTGACACTGTTAGCGGTGTCTTCTCTCACCCCAGGTCCCCGGACCCCGTGCCTCCTTCTTGGATCCTCTGGGGAGGCTGTGTTTCCTGCCCTCAGTGAGCCACGTGGCCTGCTGGCCGTGCCCACCAACAATGGGGAACCTTTCACAGAGAAGAGCTATCCTTTTGTGCATCTCTGCTTTGTTTGACAGTTCAGTGGTATTTGTATTCTGATGACCTGTTTCCAAACTGCAGAAGGAAACCAGGGTTGAGTAGGAAGTCAGGATGAAAGCTGCTCAGAGTTCCGTGGAAAGCCGGGGTCAGGGTCACAGGTCCCTCTCTCCTGCTCTCCTGGGGCCACTGACCCACCTCCTTGGGGCCCTGATGGAGAGCTGTGTGTGTGGCACCCCCAGATAATGTGCCTAGAACCAAGAGTCACACCTCAGCTAGTGCGTCTCGGGTCAGCTGAGGTGGGGGGGAGGGGTGGGTGTGAGCTCCCCACCCCCCACCACCTTCAGTTCCACAAGCATCCTTACTCTCTCCCGCAGATGATGAAGATCCTCCGCTCAGCACCGAGGCCCCTCCTGGGAGCGAAACTTCCCGTCCCTTAACAACCCAGAGGACAGGTACTGCAGGTTCCACTAGGGTTTCTTTGAAGGTGAAGCTTGGCAATTAAACCATCATGTGGGGAAGGGGAGAAGTCCGCCCAGAGCAGAACAGTCCCCCCCCAGCAGAGGGGTCAGAGTTGCCAGCAGGTGCCAGAGATGGTCACACATCCGCATCCGACCTCCCAGGCCTCCCACGCGGCAGGTGTCAGCAGAGAAACAAGACAGGATGGGGGGGGCTCCTCAAGGCGGAAAAATGAAGAGCTTGCCCAGCGCTCCCCCAGTCTCTCCATCCGCCTCCGTGGGTCTAGCCCCCTGGGAAGCCAGGGCCTCCCCGGGCCCGAGCAGTCCCATAACTAGAATAAACTAGCGTCTTCCCCTCCATCTTTTGCACAGATTTTGAAGAACACACAGACGTGGCTGCCACCATGGCGTCGTTCATACTTACAACTGAGTATCAGATCGCAGGTGGGTAGTGAGCAAACGTGCCCCAGAGACCGTGGGACTGGTGCTTGGTGGGTTGGTGAGCTGGTTGCTTAATTAGTTTAAACTAATTTTTTACACTATGTAAGACCAGTCCAGATATTAACATAACTTGGAATCACAGGACTCCGTTGTAGGAAGTTGTATGGTCTCAAACCATCCTCCTGACCCCCGGGACCAGATGCTAAAGGACAAAATACCCAGCCCCTGGCTGTGAGGGGTGAGGCCAGGCTGTAGGGGCGTGGTAGAACCAGGGAGAGAAAGAAAACACAGAAACAGAGTAGAATGCCGGTCACCAGGGACCTGGTGGGGGAGGGGGGCTGGCAAATGAGAAGAAGATGTTGGTCAGAAGACACACACTTCCAGTCAGAAGATGAGTAAGTTCTGGATCGAATGTTCAGCGTGGTGACTAGTTAACCATGCTGCCCCGTAGACTGGAAAGTTGCTAAGAGAAGGAATGGTAAAAGAAATGGTAATTTTGTGACCTGATGGAGGTTTTAGCTAACTCTGTGGTGCCGTCACTTTGCAACTTACAGGTATTTCAAAGCAAGTCTAACATGCTAAGCAGAGACAATGTTACATGTCAGTTCCCTCTCAGTGAAGCGGGGAGAGGAGAAAAACAGGCTTTGAGGCACATCTAAGATAGATAGATAGATAGATAGATAGATAGATAGATAGATAGATAGATAGACAGACAGACAGACAGACAGACAGACAGACAGACAACTCGACAGCTCCAGGACCACAGGAAAGTAGCATCTGAGAAATACGAACACTTTCGGAAGGCGCTAACGTGTGTACCGTTTATCTTTGTATTGCAACATTTCTTTCACCCATCGCCAGCCTCACTCAGGGCCTCTCTAACTGAGGCCTGGCCTCTGAACCTTTTTGAAGAAAGTGCCCGTCAGCTCGCTCCCTCCAGAAAGAGCGGAGACCCCTGAAGAAAGGCTTGTGCCCTTTCAGTCCCCAGACCCCAGTTCTGGGGGCGCCTCCCCAGAAACCCTGCGGGGGCAGGAGCTGCAGTCTGAAAAGGGGCGGCGGACGGAACCGCAGCGCTCACCGGCCCGGGAGCCCTTTGCCGAGGGTGGGGGGATGGACTCACGGGGAATGGCTTTCTCAGCCCTGGGCTCGGGGTCTGTGCTGAACCGCCTCTCTGTCGACAGTGGCGGGCTGCGTTCTCCTGCTCATCAGCATCCTCCTCCTGAGCGGCCTCACCTGGCAGCGGAGATGGTGAGTCCCGCGTGATCCCGGAGGCCCCGCCCCGGGGACGCACCTGGGCGGGGCTCCCCTCCCCCATCCGCCCCACCCCTCCCCCTCCTCCGCCAACCGCTGGCGTTTGGGGAGAAGCTGAGGGCAAACGGCCAGGCTCGCATTCCCAGAGTCACCCAGAGACTTAAAGCCGCGGGGAAAGGGCAAAGCCAAGGAAATGACCATCCATTGAGCGCCTACTGTATGCCAGGCTGGGGGCTGACCTTCCGAATAGTGTAGCGGCCTGTCTTCTCAGAAGCCTTTGGAACAGCCACCGCTTAGGCAGGTTAAGCCAAGCAAACACGGTGGCAGAATCCAAGACTTCTGTCCCCCGCGCGCGCCCCCTAGACGCACACACCTGCGCCCTCTGCACCAGGAACCTGGCCCGCGTGGCCCCTGCGTGGCCTCGTTTGCGGGAACTCGGATTCTCAGCCCCAGCTGAGAGCCACCGGAGAGAGCATAAAAATCCCACTGCTTGAGCGGGACCCCGACAGCGGTGTGCTTTTTTTTTAATTGAGATGAAATTCATCATTTTAACCATTTTAAAGTGCATAATTCAGTGGTTTTTAGCAATGTTGTGTGTGCACCACCACTACCTAATTCCAGAACGTTTCCATCACCCCAAAAAGAAGCTCGCACTTCCCAATTCCCCAGGTCCCCTTCCCTGACTGCCCGTGATTTACCCACCACGGGCTTGCCTGGTCCGGACAGTTCGCGTGACTAGAGTCAGATACCCTCTGACCTTCTGTGCCTGGGACTTTTTTAAAAGTTAGTGCTTTTGTGGTCATGTTGGGGAAATCATGTCTATAATTAACAGGACCAATGTGAACAAAACAAAATGTTACAAATGTGATATTTGTGATTTGGGATAAAATTTCCAGTGTCTTCATGACACATGGATTCAAAGGGTACTGGAATGAAAGTGATGTGCTCGGGGAAACTTAGACAAGTCAAAAAGTGGCCCTGTGGTGACAAAGACAATGATATTTAAGATGCATGAAGAGATTATTTAAAATATACTAATTCACAGGCAAAAAAAAGTACTTCTTAAAAAGCTCCTCCAACGCATCTAGTACGCACACATCAGTTTAGGTAGCCCCACTGCTGCAGAAAAACGTGGTACAGCTCAGTTGTAACAGCAACCTGCATCCCACCCAGTGAGGAAGCAGCACTGGGAGAGTTGGAGAGCTCAGGTTTATTAAGCCAGGGGGCCCAGAGGAGTCAACACTCCAAGCTCCGGACCCCGTCTGTCGGTTTACACAGGCTTTTATAGGCTGCCAGTTTACACTTTGCAATATTGTATGCAAATAAGGTATAACAGAAGTTGACTAGTTAGGAGCAAGCTTTGTAGAAATGGACCAATCAGGAGTGAAGGAAATAACCAATCAGGAGTGAGCTCAGGGAACCAATAGAACTTTCCTAGGAGTAAGTCTGTCGGAGCCAGCCGACAATCGATCAGGTCCAGAAACCTGTGCTGCAGGACTGAGAAAAGGAAAGACGTAACAAAGAGACAGCAAGACAAGACAAGTT